TTCGGTTGTCTTCGATAGTTTTCTTTATTAACTTATTTTTAAATGCTTGAACGTCTTTTTTATTTGTTTCCTTAACGTTTTGCAAAGCGTATTCGGTCTTCGATTTTTTTTTAAAATCTGTTGTTGCTTTTATTTCTCTTGGTTTCTTCATGAGTTCTTTCGCTTGATTCGTGAATTTTGGGTCCTGCGACATTATTTATTTTTCACCGTGCTCTATCTCAGAATAAACGTGCCTTGTCAAACCCAACCACGATACGTCCAATGGAAGTTCGAGTATAAGCCACGAACCCGGTTCCACTATGGCTCACCTTCCACACGTGGGACAAATCTTGCCTTTCCTTGCTTGGCTTTTCCTTGCACAGCGTGCTCCCAATTGGATAGTGGTCGCGTTCCTTAAAAATATGCATACTTTCAATAAGTTACTTATGAAATTTTTTATTATTTATTTCTTATTTCAGAACAGTGTCTCTGTGCGCTTGAAGCTCATGCGAAGACACACCATCCACTTTGATAGTACTACGGACACTTCAAGAAACGAATTGTCCTATTTTGTAGTCACTATGTAAGCACTTCTGTTATACGGTGTTCACTTTTCACTCGAATATTAGACACCTCAATTATGGTTTGGTATGCTCTGGATAATAACTGTCATTTTACAGGATCCACAGCAAGTCTTCGAGGCGTTTCTTTTTTATGAAAAGTACCAAACTGAGGCGGAATCGAAATCAATGAAATAAGCAAATCTTAGATTTGTAAACCACCATTTTGGTTTCAGAAGTTTTAACTCCATCATTACAATCATTATGAACATACGTAAATTTCAAGGGAAGACACAAAATGATATGAAAATTCTATAAAACGGAAGCTTGATTTCACAGCCATCGAGCAGCAAGAAATTTTCAATGATAAGTCAGGAATTGGGCTGAATGAACGAAAGTGGCAAAAAAGCAAATGCCGATGAGTTAAAGACGAGAAATGGAATCTAAGATGAACAACTTATATCGCGAATCAGAAAATGACAAAAATATTGACACCGGGATGAAACTGCAAAAATGCCCAGTGTACAGAAGGAAAAATCAGTTTCTCACTTTACACCAGCGGTTGATTGCACCGCTCCCTTGCTTCTAGACGTTCATGGGGGACCGTTTAAGCAGGCCACGGCTCCATGGAATTTTAAGCACCTGCAGTGCATAGGACGCAGGACCGCATCTCGAACATGGGTTGAACGAAATTACGTTCAAGAAAGAATCATTGTCACGACCCGTAGGAGAAAGAGTGACAAAATGGAAGGCCGATGTTCTGGGGAGCTATCGATACTGCCGCTGAAGATATCACACTAAAATTATTGATACCAGATTGAAACGGCGGTATCGATAGCATCCCAGAACATCAGGGTTCCATTTTGTCAAAGATTATCTTATGTAGAAAAATTAAACCCGCTCTCATGGATTTACTAGCATGCTGCTAGTTTTGTGACACCGCCGTTAAGATATATGACCCTTTTTAGTTTTTGACACCGGATTGAAACGACGTAAGCACCGGCTCCTTGCTTCCATAGTCCCTTCTGTTCATGGCATCTTTGCAGGTCGCCGAACAGGCCGTTGTTCTGTCCTTCCTCGTGATGCGGTTTTGCATCCAGGCGCCGCAGACTCCCAAATGCCATGGAGCCGTTGCCTGCTTAAATGGGTCCCTAGGCCGCTAAAAGCAAGGGGCCGCTGCTTATGCCGCTTCAATCCGATATCAAAATCTAAAACAGGTGAGCTTATTGGTCGACGTTCGGTTAATGTCCTCGTATATCCGTTGATCGATAAGGCAGTGGCCAATGATTTTCAAGATGGCATACAAGCAACGATGCCTTTAATTGGAAAGTCCAAAAATGTGAAACACACAACTCGAGCAACATGAGGAAAAAAACTACACACGGGAATGCATCAACACTGTGCATTGATACCTTCAGAAATGAAGGTAGAAACTCCAACTTTCAGGCACAGTCGAGGTGATCAATAAATCCGAGCAGGGAACTTTTCACAATGACGGTAAATGACAAGCGATTGATTCGTTCCTACCGATGGTCGCATCTATTTGGGTGTCTTACGATGGATACGCGTACATTTTCATACTACTCCATTCATAGTATAGATTGTCCACATGTAGAGGGCATGTCTGAACCTCGAGAGGGATATGTCTTTTGAGTCATGCCGAGCAGGCGCCGGAAACCGTGTATCATACGACGGTACCGGTTGGATGACTTTAAAAACTTGTTCTGTAAAAGGTGAGAGGTATTTCGCTAAAGACGAAAAGACGGATGGTTCACGGGCGAGCATCGTGCATGATCGAGATACGGGTGCAGCCGTGTGGAACTGGTCAACGAACTAACGAATTTTATTTCATTAGTGAGACGGGAAATTTGCCTCGGGCCATGTATCGTTTTGAAAGCGCCGCCGCCGTCGCGGACAGACGAGTTGTGGAGCATACACGATCAATCTTGAACGGACGGACGGGGAGGGGGGGGGTAAGGAGGTGAATAATGCAGGCAGGTCGGACGAGAGTCAAACTGTCGTCATCGTCGTCGGCTTAGTCAAATGACCGATGTGAGGCTGACGGATGCCTCAACATTCAATGCCTGTGCCGGTCGGTCTAATGAACAACGGAATAGATTCTTCATCGCGTCTGAGCTTCCTGTCTGATGTGGCTGGACGAGGACGACTTGAACCTGCAGACGGCGGCCTGGAGGCAAGACTTACTGTCGGTCGTTGGGTCTGGTCGATCAAGCATAATTCATTAACAATGCCGTTAGCAAAGTGGTTGCCATCGATCAAGTAGTCCCACCGGGCCAACTGTAACGCACAAATTAAAAATCTGTCATCATTCATCACCGCTCGTTTCATGCCGCTGATATTCAACTGTCGAGGTAGCAAAACGGAACGTGGCAAAAGGTCATTACGATCATTCCTTCGAAAGACGTTACCTTTCAATTTGTACGCTGAATCTACAAATCAGCGAAGTGCTAGTGAAAAGGCTGGGTCACCTGAACCAGAAGTCGCCATTTCAATTCCAACCAAACATCGACGAAGCTTTATTCCCGCTAGCTTAAAAATCTTTTTTCTTATGGCATATTTTCATAAGCAGACAACGTTACCACATGGTACGAAACTCACAGCAGGTCGAGAAGCTGCGATGACTTAGAACAATGCCAGATATATCCCAGTGATTAGGATATCTGTGGCCTGTTGGCACAGTTGTGTGAGGTCTGCTCGAACTCCGCAGATGTCGGGTTCGATTCTGCTCGAGGATAACCTTCGTCGTATTTGGGAATTCCCTTGAGCAAGGAATTCACCACCATTGAGTCAGACCGAGGTTACTCAGACAAAACGGTATCGAACTCAAGACCGATAGATCCTGAGTTAAAGGCTCGGTTAGGGTCACTCACCCTTCTTCCTTCCTAAGTTGATAAATCAATACCACTCTGTGGAAAGGAAATAGAAGAACACACGCTGCGCTTGCCAATGGCTGTAGAATCTGCCTTATCCACTTATATGGCGCTTGACCGATGGCATCGAAAAGGATGTCAATACCGTACCACCAACTTCATGAAAAGAAGGACGCCAAAATGGCCCAAGCATGAAAGTAGAGGAAGACCAACATTCCAACATTGATTAACTTTCCTTTGGTTTCCTATCGTGGTTTATGAGCACTGTGTTTAGTGCCAGTTTTAACACCTGGTGCGCTTTTTAGTACAGGTCAGATATGATCGAACGATTTAGGATGATTCATTCACATGTGAAAATTATGGATAAGCTTAACAACAGAATCAGTCGTCATCTATACCCATGTCGATTAGATATGTAAGTTTATTTCATCATCATCGGTCCTTATCGATCTACTGCTAAATAAAGGCCTCTCCAAGACTTTGCCGTTGACATCTGTTTTCTGCCATTTATCTGTCGTGATCGAGGGAACTTCCTCAGCCCATTCAGTCATCGATTTGGAGGGATTCAAACGGGCTGTTCATTCCCTCTCGGTACCAAGTAAAACCTCTGTTCCAGAGATGGTCGGTTCT